TTTAGAAATAGTCTCTCTATCACATGAGAGCAAACATCCCTTGCCGGTTCCTCCAAGGCACGGTCGCAGAACACGTCCATAGTCTCAATCCATCTCTCTGTGTTTCTTACGGCCTTATGAAGACGCGCTAACCTTTTCTCACATTTCTCCCACGCTTCCCGAGACTTCTCAACTTTCGAGACGTCACAATAGCCTTCATAAAGGTCATATCTATCTAAAATGGTCCGACAGATTGGGCACTTAACGAATGGATATGGCTGAGATTGTAAATACTTCTCTATGCACTGCTTGTGGAGCCTGTGCCCGCAAATAACGCAATGGGATGGAAATTTGGAAACCTTCTCTAGGCAGACGGCACACTCACCTTCACCTTCATTGCCGCTGATTTTCATCTCCACGTTACACCGGGTGGCAATGACGGCAAGAGACGATTTGATAAATTTAATTCTGCCATCGCCCTCCTGTTCACAACTTTTTGGTGTCAATTATCTGATGCGCAGTAGCCAGCATTGGCGGATACTTTGTTTTAGTGCGAAGAATTAACTTCATGTAATGGGCGACTCCGAAAACATAAATTGTGTACACACAAATTTCCTTGTGTATGTGTGTCGTATTTTGTGCCTTGGCACGGAAATGCATGTGAACAAAAATTTGTGTAAGACACATTTAATGCCAATTCACCCTCAGTGAGGTGTCAGCACGCCGGCGGACGGATTGCGGTACCCCCTTCACGCCCTATCCTATGATACTGACGAAAGAGCCACCGGCTTGGGGACAAATATCGGGTGCCGGCTCCTCGTCGGAGTCGGCAACATGAGCCATGTAGACGTTGGGCTGCGGGGTTGGACAGCGGCTGACACGACGGAGGGAAAGTGTGGAGGGAGGCCAGATCGAAATAGGAATGAGGTTGCCGAGGGGTGGGATGGGTTGATCGGACAGATCGCAGAGAAATATTTGAGCACATGGTATGATATAGGGTGGTATAGGTGGGTGCGGATGTGCGTTTGTGTCTGTGCACAAACAATTACATCGGGAGGGGAACGAAGAGCAAATCGGCGGTTTGTGTATGCACAAACACCTCCGACTCAATCAAAATCGGCGGATTTGCGCATACACAAAATGTGTTTTTATGTTTTTCGGAGTCGCCCAATAACTGACTTCATAGAAGATTTCTTGGTTCATTTTGGATTTGCAAGCTCAAAGCGATATTGCCTTGCGGAGTTCAAAATGATACGTTTTGACTTGGCAAATTCGAGGCGTTATTTGATATTCTGGATCAGATATTTTGGAAGCTTACGCTGTAATAGAACAGCGTCGCGATGAGGTATTTATACAATTTGGACGAGCCCAACAAGCCCCTTGTATCGCTATTCTGATGAACCTAATATATTAATATTGCTTAAAAGTAAGCCTCTTGTCTTATAAGCTTGATGCTGACCGGTGAAAGTCACTGTATGAGATCGTTAGGTGAATTTTCGCTCTTGTGGAAACAATTATAAAAAGTACAGTTTTGCCGTAGTCAGTGTAACGCATAAAGGCATTGCGTGCATAGAAGTATTTTAAAATAGCAGGGAACGGTGTTAAGGAAAAGCTCGAAATGTGACACGCAGCCATCAAACAGAATTCCCAGCCCCTCATTTTAAAAATGCAGAAACCCTTTTAGCGGCCTTGGACGTATTCCTCGTCCCAAAATTTCTAGAAATAAAAATAGATTCTGGAAACATGAGTGGATGGTCACCTTGATTTTTCCAAAACTAGGACGCGGCCAGAATGCTTTACCTTTGAAGGTAGTGTGAATAATCGCTTCGCTCTTTCCCATCTGTGGGTTTGCGGGGACCATTTCTCAATCTCTTTTTCCTCCTTCCATTAAACAGCATACGGTAAATCGGTATTGGTTGCGCTGTCGGGAGATACTGACCAATTACGCCATCCTGGAGTTCGCTTTTGTTAAACGACCGCATTTTTGACAGCCACCTATTTGGAGGATGGCGTAACGCGAAAAGACATGTTACTGTACTTCCGTCTGATACCATATATATGCAGGGCACATACAGTGGACTAAGCAATTCAAACTGCGGCTCATATCCGACAAAATAATTCTAGAAATCTATTTACTGATAATCGCTACATTGATCTTCTACTAATGCCCTATTTCCATGAATCATTTGGTGATCACGTTTGCAATCTGCTCTGGCTCGTGTCTATCGGACCGATAGTCCTCGTATGAGGACAATAGTTATTTTATTTTTTCTGAACAACCCATGAGCGATTTCACTTTTGTTTCTTTTGAAACCAGAAAGGCATCACTACAGGTATAGCACTTGTTTGTCGATTCTAGCGAAAACCAACTCGTTGACGCACATGAAGGTGTTCAAAAGAAAAGGTCGCGCTACAGTACGGGATTTTCTTTAATCTAATTTATACCAGTTGTGTAGAAACATTGCGTTGAGGGCTTTCTATTTCGTTCTAACTGTAGAAAAATGTTAAAATGGGCCAACCTACCAAAGAAAAATAGAAACCGTGGCCATCAAAGCTGAAAAGAAATAAAAATCGCAGATTGCCTTGGTATGATAACGCTTGGCTGGCTGGACACTACGCTAGGACAGTCCTGAGGGTGTGCGCGCCGTTGTTACACTCTACTTGTCGTGTCCAACACTGCAATAGGTAATGAACATGATAAATAGTGATAGACTAGATACATGACACTTGAAAACTCTTTTGGAGAAAAATAGAAAGAAATTGGGCTGGGCCCTGAGATTGTCTTTGATCCGAAAGGGACCACTGGAAACAGGTCTCGATACGGAAACGGTCTTCTCAATGACATTGAGCCAAAAGAAACATTGTTTCTTTTGGTACAATGAAGTACTGTACAGCATCCCCTTCGGATTGCAAACTGCCCAGGTCCAAGAGGTCGAGGAGGGAAAAGTGAAATACACCTTCGAGCGTCGCCATGGCCTTGCACCGCGAGACGCATACCAAACTACCATTTCCCATTAGCTTGCCGCCATCAAGAACGTATCAGTCTGGCAGCCCTTCATTTGGAGTAATGTATTGTACCACACTTGTACTGTTGCACAGTAGAGGAGACGAGACTAGATGCTAGTCATACCGGTGATACACATTTCCGAGAAAGTTAAATATTTGCGCCAGGGCTTCGTCACTAAGCGCTTTCGTAGGTTTCAGTTTCATCAAAGTGCTTGTGTTGTCCGGCAAACATCCTAAAAGTGTACGGACACGTACAGCCATGTTCTGGATAAGCCTCACTACTGTACATTCATAGTTTATTGGTTAACCGTACTAGTGTCTAGGTGACAAATGGCCTCATATGAGGTCACTTTTCAACTTAATTTTTCTCGACTTGTGCTAGCTGAACAAAAATGGAAAAAGATACTCTCGCCACCGCAGTTGACTTCTGCGCTTTGGAAGGGTGGAGCTTGGTGAGATCTGCACGTCCTTTCCGGGCTTTTTGAGAATACCTAAAGAAGAAGCTTTTTTAATGAACATCAAAACGTTTTTTGTTGATATCTTCGAAACCAAAACGCCTGTTTAAAATATCATCCGATGTTGAAACTATATTAGATTCTTAGTATTTCTGTGTACTCATAACTGCTATCCCGATGTTTTGCAGGAAGCTATTACCGAGGGAATATTGGTTAAAGAAATGGTGTCTAAACTGATTTTATAAAAATTTGATTTAATGTATACATTTTTGCAAAAAAAAACCGGCCTCATATGAGGCCAAGCCTGACCTCATATGAGGCAAATTGCCGGTCGTCTAGACACTAGTACTGTAGTGGGCCGGGAACCGTCAGGGAGTTACGAGACAAGTTTCTACGCTCGTTGCAGTATGTACGAGACAAGTTTCTACGCTCGTTGCAGTATGAATCAATCGTAAACCCGCTAATCCGACATGTGCGTGAACCAATGGCGCTTCCTCTTCGCTTGCGTGATGGTCTCAGAATCTGACTTCGCAGGAGGCCCAAGATGAGGCATCAATACAGTAAATATTGTTATTTGCGAACGGTCTTAAGCGCTAACATAACTGTGAGTAGATATAGTCTCTAGTCCATTGTTCTGCAAAGATAGTTATATAGTGCTTCCTCGATCTTTTTTTCTTCCCGTCTTTCGAATAGTGGCTGTACATATATTTTGCCGTCTCAGCTCGAGAGCGGTCACAGAGGCCTGCAGTGCAAAGTGGGAGATGGGCTCCAACTTCTCAGATTGGCCCTCCGACGATCTCGTCGCGTCCGATTCATTTCAAAGCAGTTGGCCTTGTCACAAAAAACAACGGCGATAGATACTGTACAGCACATGTAAAAGCTGCCTTCAAACATTTAAAAATTTATATGCCGAGCAAAGTTAGCAACAATGCAAATACATCCCCCTGTGTCTTCCTTGTTGGTCTTCCTTGTTGCCCATTTTCACGGCTAATAATGCTTCCCACACATGGATCCTCCCACTCCCGAACGCTTGTGCAGCTTCCTTGTTGCGTCAGGGTGTGACAGGTATAGTGCAGTATTTTACCTCGACTTGTTGCATATTAGCCTCATAGTGTTATACTATTTCGGTACTGCAACGCGAATGTCAATACTATCATCTCGTGTGATGGACGGAAGCCGAAACATACTTGACTGCCCCTTTTCCGCTCATCTCTCGTCTCCAAATCCTGATGTACTGTGACGGAAACAATCGCGACTATTGAAGTTTTGTTGTCCTTATTTTCTGCCTCCTGTGCATCTGGACATGTTCCGGGCATTTTGCTCTCAGTTTGTGTTCCCGGACAATTTCTGACAGGTACGGGACGACTCATGTGAGTCGTCCCGTACCTGTGAACAGTTAGTCTCATCTTCGTTAGCACAGTACAGCGTAAGCCAGGTGCTCTCCTGCCGATGAAGGGCTATCTATCAGACAGCATGCCTTATGATTGTTCAGTTCGTATCGGAAAATTCTTAACTTGAAAAATAGAGTATGTGGACAGGTCATGGCTTTGTTCACGACTTTTACATTTGTATTCTCGCCGATGTCGCACCGCGCTTCGACAGTTTTTCACCAATAATTGATTCTGAACATGAATGCACAAATGTCGTTTTATTTATCAGAAAAACTACAATATGGACGCTCATGTTGTGGGCTCCGACGTCTCATTCACATGAATCAAACCTTTCCTGAACAACTAGGGGCAAAGGGAGTAAAATTCGTAAATTCGCCAAGGTCGGAGTCGGCGTCAATGGAGCTCAAATCGGACTCCTCTATTGGTGACGTCTCTCATTTCTGAGAGCGAAAGGACTTAATGACTATCGCAACATTCATATTTCTGAGAGTAGCCACGATAGCCCCTCTCGGCGGCTTGCATCCTGTACGAGTAGTAAGGGGTGCCGCACTTGAAGATATGACAGTAGTACAGGTGCTTGCACGCCTTCTCAGCCAAATGCTCGTACGTGCATTTGCACGGGCAAGGCTTCTTGGTCGTTGTCGTCGTGGGCGGCTTCGTCGGCGGCGGATGATAGTAGTCACAGCACGTCTTCCCAGGGTAGTAGCCGTCGTAACACTCCTGAAGATAGCAACCGTGCGAAACGCTCTTGCGCCCACACTGCCTGGCGGCGACGCTGATTTTATGTCCAGTAAAGCACTTGCAAGGGCACGGCGGCGGCTTGTGAGGCGGCTTGTGAGGAGGCTTGTAAGGAGGCCTGTGAGGCGGCTTGTGAGGAGGCTTGTGACGAGGCCTGTGAGGCGGCTTGTGAGGAGGCTTGTGACGAGGCCTGTGAGGCGGCTTGCGGTGCTTCGGCGGGGGCTTGTAGTAGTCCTCGTAATAAGCCGACCGGCTATCCTGCTCCAAAGTAGGATTGGAGCCGAACTCGGCGGCAAGGCATACGGTAGCCAAAGCCAGAAGGACGAAAAGTGTAGCGGTATTCATGGTGTGCACTGAGCAGGGGTGAGACTTGAGGTATCAGCACGTTGGTGGTTGGAGCGATGGAGAGAGTGAAAGGGGTCTGGGCCTGAAGGAAACCCCGCCTTATATAGATATTTGTGGCACGCTTCATGCTAACACTTCCCGGCTTCAGCAGGTTCAGTTTGAAGGGTCGAATTTTTTTGATGCGATGCTGAGGTTTGAACAGTGTTCTTTGCAATGAACATCAATCTATTGTGCTGCGCATATTCCGAGGTGACAGTAAGTTGAGCCGCCAACTCGAGGTTTCGATATGAGCTTGGAGAAGAGACATCCTCTTCAGACTTCAAATTTTGTTTTTGTCGTGCTCCGTCAGAGCAAAGGATTTTGCTGTATTTCTTCTAGGTCTTGTGCTTTGTCATAACTTGTTCACATTCCGTAAAGCAAGTACCTGTCAAGATTCTTGTCATAGCCTCATAGCAGGTGATCAAGTACAATAAGCCTGATTTCTTTAATTAAAAATTACATCCAAACGAGCTCAGCTTCATGGCCGAGTACATCCTGCTTGTCGTAGAAGGACGATGACAGGAATATGTCTTCTGTGGGCCCTAGCGTGGATAACAAGTCGAGACACTTTTCTATCACCAGCAACACAGCTACATCGTACAGCACCTCTGCACTGTACTCTGAAGACATATTTGTTGATTTCCAGCGCAGCAAAAGACTCTTGTCAAAACAACGTGAACAGTACAAATATCTTTATCGCCATTCTTTCATAGAGGTGAGACCTTCTTTGTGAAGACAGTAGGGAACAATTGCTGAGTTAGTTCATTCAAATATGATCACTCGCAGTCCTCCTTGACGACCATATAAAATTTGAGCGGGACGCATCGTTGGCAGAGGATTGTCATATGCCTAAGAATGTGACCAAACAGACCAACCAATCTTTGATGCTGGCCGAATTGAGCTCAACACTAGAAAATGCCAAAACGCACACTGATGTCACCCTCACTACTGTACTCGCCTTACAAACAACTCATAATGGACAAGACAAAATTTCACCAGTATGAGAGCTTGGCAAACAGGGCAACCGGCTTGGTAGTGATATGACATCCGGTTTCAAGGAGAGCAGCAAATTCACATATGTGCGTGATCCCTGCGAGCTTGCTTGCAGACTGCAGTCTCGCGTTGTGGTGAAGATCGCGACCCAGTTTATACCTTTACGTATTTATCCACTAGACACATTTCCGCCAGCGGTATGCGGTCAAGTGATTTACTCGCATCATACGACACGGCGCGCTCTGCGGGGCTCTGTGGGGGCGGTCCCGCTGGTCCTGGGCCACCCAATCGCCCCGACTGGACGACGGCGGCACACAACGCCACGGAATTCCCAGACCCTGCATTCCATCGCTCTCCCGCATCGACACCGCCCGCGGCGCTTCACCCGCATCGCCCCCTCCCGGCATTGCCTCAGCGCCTGACTGCTCCCGCCCAAGCTTCTCCCGCACCGCCCCCACCATGCATTCCCCCGGCGCCTCCCCGCATCTCCCTTCATTGCCTCAAACGCCTCCCCACTCCCGACCACCTCGCTTTGCCTCACCCCCGCATCGCTCTCCATTGCGTGAGGCCTCTATAGCCCCTCCACGCTCCGGGTCGCTCTGTCCCCGATTTGCCTCAGCTCCTCGCTCTAGGTCCCCTTCTCATTCTACCCCGCCTGTTCGCATGCCTGCTTCACCGGCGTCGCCTTCTTCTTCGCCTTCGCCACCAGCGCCCACCGCCTTGATCCCCACCGCGCGCACCTCGGCGCACAGATTTGACAGCTGATCTGCTGCTGTTGGCGCGCCTCCTCCACGGTAGCCGTGGATGGCTTGTGAAGGCGACGTCTTCTCAATTAAGGGAACAGATCGTTGAGGGTACGTGTGGGAGGCCAGTGACATACAAGAGCCAAGATGTGGACTTGGGGGAACCAGTGAATTAGTCTACCATGGATTTGAAGGTTTGAAGGGTCGCTTTATTTTGGCTAACGCTGGAACAGAGTGTTCGCTTTGGACCAAGTGGTCAGAGTTTTTCGCATGTTTGCATCCTGCTCGATGTCCTGTCTGTAGTTTTTTATAGTCCGAAGGACTGTGCCGTTAATGTACAACAGCTGGCGGCTTCCACTTGTTAAGTTTGACAATTTCCTTACATGTTCTATCATCCAGGAGAGGTTATCGATTGACTCCTGTGCGGCTTCCCCGGCATTGTTCAAAACTGACTCTCTCGAGTCCTAGAAGAAAACTTGGCTGATAAAGTTGGATCCTGATGCCGCTTCGATCTGCGCAGAAGCGACAGTTGAGAGCCCTTCATTGGCCTTCCGTCGCTTTGAATGAGTGAGTGGTCCTTCGAACAGGGGAACTAATCTGTTTTCGTCTCTCCGTGACTTAATGAAAGGCGACTGACGACCCCTAATCAATTCACGATACAACGGCAATTCCATGCCTTGAACAAGGTGTTTGCACATTAGAAACGGATTTTGTAAGTATGCAGGGAATGAACAAGTCCATTTAACCTTATCCACATTGTAAATCTCTTTTATGGGAGTTGATGTTGCCTTTTTCCATTCCTGCACAAACGCCCGCCACCAGCTTGGTTTCTTTCGTCCATTCATCATCAATTGGTAGTCTGAGTTAAACTTGGTCATGAGCTTCGTCTCTATGACGTACAGTAGTAAATCTGGTCTTGGCCGGTTGTATGGCAAAAGATAAAGGCGCTTTAAAACTGAGAAATGCGACTCGCACAACATTGTCGTTTTGGTGAGGGGGATGCACGACGCAAGTCGCCTTCCCCAGCAATAAAACATATTTCCGTCGTACCAATTCTTGATCAAGTACGCTTTAAGCGTCTCCTCACCCTCTGGACAAAAAAAGAGATCTATTTCTTCCCGTGCTTGCTGTTCAGAGAAAACTGTAGAGAATTCGGGGTCGAAAAAAGGATGGCGGTTAAACTGGAGACTGATCAACTCAAGTAACTTTGTCTCTCGCTCCTGGGAGATTTTAGTCTTCTTATCTCTGCGTAGACCTCCAATCTTCTGCTTGATGGCTCTTTTAAGATGCCAGAGGCACAAAGACGGGTCTATTTTATACACCCGTTTGATGGCATACAGTTGACCAGAATCCTTATCTGAAGAGAAGAAGGTAGGTCGAAACGCCACCAACGAGTCGAACAATCCTCGGAAACATTCATATATTGTGTCCTTTCTCCGCACGTTTTCTGACGATGAAACACTGCCGGACTCAACAAAAAAGTAAGCGAGCGGAAAGCCAGCACCCAGCACTGCCCGGATCACAACAAAAAGTTCCCATGATGATGAATTAGTCTTGTACGTGGAATCAATAAATCCTTCAACTCTATTGTGTTCTTGACAGAGCATATCTGCCATGCCGGTTTTGACACCGACAGCAAACGGCGAGCGTTCGTGAAAGAAAACATCGAACGTCTTGCTCTCTTGAGCATACAGTAACACAGATTCTTTAGGGTCGACAGCCTTTCGAAATTGTGATGTCATCTGGTCCAACCACAGTTAGTACACCTGAGGGTACTGAATAAACACATGTTCAGACGCCCGCAAGTTGGAGCAAATAAGAAACGGAGTACTATCCTGCCGTGCCTGCTGTAAAACAAATTGCTTCTCCTGTTCAGATAATACATGCTTGTTCTGGGCCCTTTCGTGCAGCAAAGTATGCTTCACCGTAAGGTTGAGAGTTAAACCTCGGTCATACGAAATAGACAACCTGCCACCACAGTCATGTAATCTTGAACTTACCTTGCACCGTTTGGCCTCTGCATTATGGCTTCTCTGACATCATATATAGGCATGTGTCTTCACACCTTTCTTGTGCGAAACATATCGGAACCCTTCAACGTTTTCAACGACAGATTTAACTTTTTTTATAAACTCTAAGCGGTTATCCGGGTGCACAGGCTGATCGCTTGCATAACAGCATTCGATAGGATACTGCAGCTCCGTCGATGACTGTAAATTACGCCCCTGCTCCCTTGCAATAAACGCTTGCTTGTCTGCAACAAATGGAAGCCAACCCATGAAGTAGATTTTTTCGGGAACAAGGTCCATGGGGTCTTCTCTTCGACAGGTATTACAACTCGTTCGCGGCTCTCCTTTGGTGCTTAAAAACCTAGGCATCTCACGGTATGCTTTACATCTGTGACATTTCATTAGACAAAGAGCCCTTAGGTTGTCCAGGGAAGTTTCCTCTTCGCTCCCATGAAGAGCAGTAACTACTGCTAAGAAAACGTCTGCATCGGTGATGATATCAGCACACGAATCTACACTGAATATTACCCGTAGTATAGCCTCGACCTCGGCAGGTTGCACGACGACCAATTCACAAAGCGCTTCAGAGACGTCATCTGGGCTGGGAAACGTTGCTTCGAAGCACTGGTGAAAAAAAGCTTCGCAGACCACCAGTGCATCTTGGCACTCTGCGGTGAGTTAAACTTCCCCATCCGGAAACAACTTGCTTGAAGCAGCTCGACGAGAGAAAGGTAAAGCAGCGAGAAAACCCCTCTGCAATGCGGGACGGAAGGGTGAAATGACCACCGAGAGTGGGGAGGCGCTGGCGGTTTTGGCAACGGAGCGTGTAGAGAGATGGGGAGGCGAGAGGGCCCAGCGACTCGGCTGGGTGTGAGGCGATGTGCAGGTCGATGCACGGTGCGGGGGTGAAGGGGTGACGGGCAAAGCGGCAAAGCGAGGTGGCCGGGAGTCGGGCGCTTGAGGCGATGCGGGGAGGCGCCAGAGGAATGAAGGGGGCGGTGCGGGCGAAGCGATGCGGGGAACAGTCAGCTGAGGCGATGCGGGGTGAAGCGTCGCGGGCGGTGTCGATGCGGGAGAGCGATGCACTGATGCAGGGTCTGGTAATTCCGTGGCGTTGTGTGCCGCCGTCGTCCAGTCGGGGCGATTGGGCGGCCCAGGACCAGCGGGACCGCCCCCACAGAGCCCCGCAGAGCGTGCCGTGTCGTATGATGCGAGTAAATCACTTGAA